TATCATCAACGTGAAACAAGCGCAATATTTAAGGTTGGTATACTACAATGCATTACAGTTTCCTAGCTTGTTATTTAGTCAAATTATTATCCGCTTTGTTGTTTTTAACCTTGTACTGTAATTTTTACCGTATTGTGTGTGTCTGTGTACTGTGTCACTGTGATACATATGTACATGCTTTGAGTTAAACAAATTGCTTAATAAATTTTTGCTGAAGTATGATACGTGTTTGTATCTAGTTGTGGATAGATTTTTACATATATGTGCATACAATAGTGATATTTTTCAATTTTCATCTGTAAAATATTGCCATATTTGTGTGTTGTTCTATAAATATTACTGTAAATAGTGACACTTTTGCATTAGATTTCTAATTTTAGAGATTACAGCTTATGTACAAAATAATAAAATAAAAATTTCCTTGTTATGATTTTGTAGAAAGAGATCTACTTGAGTGGTTGTCTGGTCTTGAATCTGGTCAGCATGGATATGGTAATGAAGGTGATAGGGCAGAAATTGGTGACCAGTTAAGTGATGAGGATGAAAGTGACGAGGACAAAATCACCCATGCTGTACCATTCAAGTGCATCGGTGCTGCTCATGAGAAAAATTACCAACATCAACAGCATACTTTGCTCTTCATGGACAAGATAAACCAGTGAATGTAAGAATACGGCCAGAGCCATTGAATCCAATGGACCCAAGTGCAATTGATGTAGACTATGGAACTGGATGGACACACATTGGTTATCTTGCTTCTCAACTATGCGAGAATTTGCACTGACTAATTGCCATAGGAGATATCTTAGAGGTCTATGTTCAGCATATCATGTATAGGGTTGACTTTTTTAAAATAGAATTTTATCAAAAAAAATTTATAAAGCAATGTGGTGAGTGGGAGACTCAAGTGGTAAGGGAGAACATGAGTGTACGTTGACAAATGTTTGTGATATAATTGTAACTGACTAGGTTTAGCAAGTTATAGAAATGATCTTATTTCAATTAGGTAACTTTTTAGATTTTCATAAACAAAAACTAGGTTAATCATAAGTGGGTGTGCACAATTAAAATAAAAAAAGTCTGTCATGCACACTCATGCAATTAAGACAAGTGCAAAATTGTAACATGTGCTGTACTAAATGAAGAAATAAATAGTTTGTACATTCACTTGACCAACTTTGTGAGTAATTTTTATTTTTCATTAAAATTAATGCAACAATAAAACAAAAATATGTCTATTTATATACATATTGATCAAAGGTCCCACAATAACATGCTGCTGATACTTTGTGGTACATTACAATTTACATGAGAATACAAAAAAACCCTGCATATAATTGCACATATCAATGTCAAGTCCCAGAGGGGGGTGGGCATATGTAGGGTATTTGATCATCAATTGCATCCCCACTATGGGGATTTTGATTAGCATTTTGGGCCTGAGTTAGGGCAATTTGAACCAAAATGAGTTTTATTAATATAGTATTTATTGCAAAATGGTGGGGTGTTTGACCAATACTTATTACCTAACAGTGGGGCATTTGATTGATGCCCCACATATGCCCGACCCCACCCCCTCCTGGGGCTTATCATTGAAAGAACCACCATTTCTCAAACTTTATCTGAATTAGTTGTGTAACATCATTACAAAATACTGTTAAAAAAAGGCCAAGTGGGCCTTCACTCCTGTAAAGGGCATTCTATCCAATGACATCAGACCAACATCTACATGGCGTTGTTCTCCAAAGCATCGAGCAGTGTGATAAATCAGATTGTCTTTTTGACCAGCATGAAGTACAGACATAGCCTTGGCAACAAGTGGGAGAAAATTTTGAGGGACAATTTTAGCATTTAAACCAGGGTTAACTTTTACCAGCCATTTTTGAAACAGGTGCATGAGTAGTTATTCTGGTTGTTGCTGGGTTAGTTTTGAAAATCCAGAAGTCATACCAATAACATAACCAGAAAGGTGAACAAGGTTTTGGTCACTTGATGGAGAGACAATCATAGCATCGGAGATCTTGCAGATGTAGAAGGTCTGTACAGATTGGAAGGACCGATTTTACCTCCAAATTTAATGATGATGCTTAATTCTTGCAGACCAAATCATTGACAAAAATAGAATCCAACCAAAATCATGAATCTCAAATCTAAAACATCAGCCAAACAATAAATTTCACTTGTAAAATATTGTTACGGAAGGGCTTTAATTATTTGCACACTTTAACTGCAATATATATAATCCATAATATATCGAAACTTCTATAATATATCACACTTCTTTAGAAAAAAGCGAGTAATAGCAGTTCATTATCGATCTGAGTGACAAGGCAACATATTTTACAGAGGGCTATATTCAACGGTGAATATCTCGAAAACGGTTGCGGGACCGAGGGGGGCCGGCTGGATAGAATTAAAGATTATACTTTTGTTTAACTAATCGTGAAAAAAATAGCGAAATCGAACCGTGGAAATTTGAGATTTTTGTCTTCAAAGATTGTTGACAGAAACGCCATTAAATTACATCGCGACGGCATAGCGCCTAAAGTGAGAGGTCAAAATAAACTGGAAAATAACGCTTACCTTTCAAGATACCGTTCCAATGGGTAGATTCACTGTTGTAAAAGTAGTATCGCGTGAAATTTCCAAAAAAATGTGCATAACAATATGAAAAAAGTCGATATTTATGAGCCCTATGTAAATTTTCGATGCCAAAAGCTTCATGCGAGCATTAGGAAAATGGCGCAATCTGATTGGTCGACAGATTCGCCCAGATTCGCCTAATTAGCTGTCCAACCTCCTCTGCCATGAGTACAAGACCTAGTGTTCTTATCCAACCATTAATTTAAAGCAATTAGAGCTGTCAAATTACTACAATACGTTATAGCTAATTTGAATTTGAAAGGGTTCAGTTTTTTTTATACACACTGTATAGCGGACTGTCACGAATAGCGAACACTGATTGGTCAAATTTAAAATTTGCATTATAACGACTGCATGACGACAGCGAAATAGCGAGCATTTCTTGCAAATATATTTCATTTTGAGAAATTGATAATTTTGTAACTAACATATATTGCTTGGGAAATTGATAATTTTGTAATTAAAAGTGATATTTTTTGGGGATTTTTCAATTTTAAAAATACTCTCAGTAAAATTATCGTGTTACCATGACAACCACTTTAAATACTTCATGTTCGGAAAATATAATGGTTTGTCAGCAAGGCGAGGGTTTTCTAGTACAGCCATATTGAGTCATCCATCCAATCGGCATTTACTTTGGTGTATTTGAAAAACATTGATTGGGGAGGGAGATATAAATGTTTGTAACAATTAAACATTTCCATAATCTGCTGACGATCTAAAACCGAAGATGTCCCAATAACCTTTGAAAGTGATTGTAGTTCCACTGTCCCCCAAATGATTTTGGAGTTGGCTTGTAATTTCAGGATTCTTAATTCAACTGAGTTTGGAATTTGGAGTTAGCCTCTTAGACTATGGAAGTGGGGTCGCTCCATGGCTCCCTAACACTTGTAGCTAGCACTTCGAAAACGAGAACAGCTTACCTTGCTCAGCTGTCCTAAGCACCTTCACACCAGAAACACTGCGTGACTTATGTCCCAATCCAGTATAGGAGTAAATACTGACGGTGTAATTCGTATATGGGCGCAGGTAAGCGAAAACACACTTGCATTCCCAATTACAAACTAGGTAGCAATTTTCTGGGATAACCTTTTGCTATACACAGTAAAAAATAAATAACATATGTTGCTAACTACAGCAGAACATGAGGAATAAGCAACTTTACAATGGTTTTCGGGAAGGCGTTTATCTTGTGCGGATTCTGTAGTGCTGACCGTGGTAACGTCCCAAGTTCTCTTCTCGGATATAGATGCATGACAAAGGTCCACAGTATTTATGTGATAACTTTGAACAACGAAACAGAATTCATAACCACCAAGATACTAGAAGAAATGGAGACCTGGATTTTCCAAAATTTAGGACATCGATCGGTAAAAGATTGTTCAAATACCGAGGGACTAAGATATGGAATGGTCTAGATACAGAGCTGAAATCGATTAGTGATTTGAACTATTTTAAGACGAAACTTAAGACAATTCTTATTGAAAAGCGATGTCTTTTTTTTAACTCATAAACTATAATATAAAGTATACCCTTATAGTTTACGTATTAACTTGTATTAATTAATCATAATGATAAGATTGTTGTAAATATAGTTGATAATTCATTATTCAGTCTTTTTAACATTAATGTAAATAGCCATTGAAAAGCCCATTTTATGGAACGTCAATTAATAAATTCAAATTCAAATTCATGTCTACCTGTTTATGGGTTAGGGTCAGCGATTAAGGTTAGGTTAGGGTGAGCAATCAATAAACCACGAGGCATGAATCTATATTACCCTCTTCTCGGCAGAGGTTTTCGCCCATCATATACGAGAGAGTAATACAGGCGCGGAATGAAATGAAACTAAAACTTCCACGCCACAGCATAGAGAAGCAGAAGAGTCGTTTGGTCGATTACCTAAAGGTAGCCTGCGAACAGGCTCTCAAGCTGAATTGAGAGCCTGCATCAATGACTAATGAATTTGAATATCTGCGTCTCAAATCGTGACGCGAAATTCTCATTGGTCAGATGCTATAATTTATATGTCTCCGCTGAGCTCTATATATGTCAACTGCTGAAGCACTATGCATAAAAAACACATTAACTGATCAAATTGGTCTTGGCCATCTTTCTCAAAGCACGAAATGTTCTGTTTTGAGAAAACAGTATTTAAAACATTTGAACTTTTGCTTGAATATCTTATATTTCGAAAAACAGTATAAACTGTACGGTCTAAATTTAGTTTGCACGGTCTAAATTTAGTTTGCACGGTCTAAATTTAGTTTGCACGAAAGTTGTAAACAACACCATATAAGGATAGACATTCCATATTTGGAAAAACGAACGTTACGGGGCAGATATTCAAATTCATTAGTCATCGATGCAGGCTCTCAATTCAGCTTGAGAGCCTGTTCGCAGGCTAACCTAAAGGTAACGGACGGGGGGAGACAGTATTAAACCAAATGCCACTTTACTATCCGATGTAAATTCCACAACAAGTATTTATTTAGTATAGCTGGTGTGGGATATAGCGCTTTCAGAGGTTGTTATACTTATTACGATAATCGTTCTTTTAAATTAAGACTTTCAATCGCAAAATGATGTGTTACAGTAGAGCTGCTCCCAATTAATCGACTGATCGACGATTTTTTCTTCCCCGCCCCCAATCGATTACACTTGACAATCGGATCATCTATACACTATAACAATTCTGCACAGCATGATAGATTCATTAGTATTCCCTTTCACTGACAGGTAACTTTGATCCTGATTTAAGTTCTTTAGATATTCAGTAGGTACTGTAAGCACTTATAACATGCTGAGTAATTTGGACTGCATATAGCTTTTAAAATTTATTTTCATATAGACGGTTGTATTAACGTTTGAAAATTGAAAAATTGAGCTGCGTTGCCAAATCGGATTCGATGTGTCTGGGCCATTACAGCAAGAAGTGTCAATCGTAAATTAAACATCGTCATTGCCTTGTCAGTTGCCTACTTGTGTGAACTCTGCGTGCGCGAGAAAGTGTCCAACATATAACTTGGTGAAAACAATAATTTCAAACGTAAATAAGGATTGAATTGTTGAGGCACATGTCAATGTAAGAATAATTAATCAGTACGATTAATCCATATTAATCGATTGTTAATAACAATTAATCGATTATGAAAACGAACCGATGTAGCAGCTCTAAAACGATGTCAGTCCGAATACAATTTATGCTGATTGAATAACTATTAATAACCACGTATCTTGAATTGTAAAGAAAGCAAACTATGGCAAAAGGTGCCGAGGATAAATTATATATTTATTCTCTACCTCAAATAGTGAGGAGATTCCCCTCCCCAGTGCTGATTTGCAGTCCTGATGACCCCTCAACTTCCCAGCGTTATTTTGACCGCCAAATCACAGAAGTAGTATAGCACTTGCTTATATGTCATTGACGGACGCAGTTTAATTTGTTTGTGTTATACGTATACGTATATAGCTAGTTCTAAAATTGAGCATTAGCTATAATAATTTAATACTCACTCCACATTTCAGTATCTTTCCTCCATCTTCGTAAAAAGAAATGTTGAAACCAGCGGGATTGTCATAAATACAAGCTTTCCATTTAACTGTCACTGTATTTCTGCCATTTTGATGCAGTACGATATTGTTGGGTTGATTAAGATTCTGTGACGGTTCTTAAAGTAAAATATACTATTAGGAACTTATTTACTGAAAAACAAAAACAACATCTCCCTCCTGTCGAATGGAGTCTACCTAATATATATATATATATATATATATATATATATATATATATATATATATATATATATATATATATATATATATATATATATATATATTATATATATATATATATATTTATTATATGGATATGAGTAAAATACCGTAAAATACGCCACTGATATTTTCCGTATTTCACTATAGTGAAATATGAAATCATATCTTACGCGGGAACGTCTCGCGCGGGACCCACCCTAATTCCCGCCATTTTGCCGTTTCTGTTTTGAATATACAATATGACAACTTCTCGACATTTTGTTGATGTTTTCAACGCTGATTTGGCAAGGTTTTCTGAAGAAAATGAAAACACAAAAAGGAAGACTAATTAGTCCTATTTGGCGATCTTCAGCGACTATTTAGCCTCGATTAGCAAGCGGAGAGACATAAACATTGTTGCCGTACGGTGAGCTACAAAACAAAAAAAACAAAACTTGAATAAACTAATAAAGTCATACGTTTTGTTATTTTTGCTTCAACTTTTATCCATATAATAAAAATGCCACCGTGAAATATCCTCTATATATATATATATATATATATATATATATATATATATATATATATATATATATATATATATATATATATATATATATATATATCTCTATATATATATATATATATATATATATATATATATATATATATATATATATATATATATATATGCTCAAA